ACCCTACACATCGACTAAAGCCCGCCAATATCAAAATCCACCGAAGTATTTCTAGAGCCCCAGCACTTCATCTATTTTGGAGCGATCTTCAAATCGGCGTTGAAGCTGAGGCTCTCAAATACCAGAACTTCCTGAAGCTTCATGTTGAGGCCCAAATGACTACTAATATCAACTTGAGCTCTATTTGAAGTACCATGAGCCACACTTCTACAAGCAATTTAGAACCACAAAACTTGTGATTATTTAGGCTCCCACATCATGCGCGAGACAGTTCTTGAGCCTCCTGAGCATTGGCCGGCGGCCGCGCACCGTCCGCAAAAGCCTCCAGGGTTTAGGCTTGCAGGCTTTTGACTAGGGTTATTGCAGTGATCGTAAGAGAAGTAATAGTCATTGTCATAGCGATAAAACCCCGTCATGGTACTAGTCAGACTGTATAATAAGCATAGAAAGATGACCAATGCCTGACAAACCTGTTTTCACTCGAGCCTCGCGAGGGGCTGTAAGCATGGTCAGACTCCTCTTGCAGTACGGTACCGCAGAAATCTGGAAACCTGAAACTGTTGTGAATATCTCCATGACTCAGAATGCGTGGAGATTGGTGGCCAAACTCAGATGGCTCGAAAGGTAAGGTAGAGGAAGGTGCGATATAGGAAATAAGCCCCAACATAATTAGAATCTACAATAAAGATCCGATAGCCCACCTGGCTTCATTCCCCCTTTTGAGCCCCCTGACAAACAGCAGAGTTTAGCACCGCCAAGAAATTTGAACACACGTGTTTTCCAAAATACTCCAAGAAGGAGCCAGGTCATCTTGTGACTGGACTATATTTGTCTGGCAGTGCTGGTAGCAGAGTCACTTTGGGTCATGGAGGATCTTGTGCATTCGCGCACGATTCCCTTCTGATGAACCTGATGTCCCCAAAGCACGTAGACTCACATACTAAGGGCTTGAGGGTTTAGGAGCTCTGGGTTTAGGATTTAGGGGCTTCTGGTTTAGTCAATCTTCATTTACAGGTTGCGTAGCCTTCAAAAGAATCTAGCCCGCCCATGCGGAATCTCATCTGGCTGGGTTTTAGCATACATACACCCACAGAACTTGAGCTAGCCACATGTTGCTGTAGGCATCACAGGGTGTTGCGAGACAGTGTTTGGGACCCAGATACAGCATAAGCAAACATATCGATGTAACTCTCTCCTACACAACCCCACATAAACACACACACAAAAGTTAACGATCTATCCCCCATGCAAATTGTGCTTAGGTCCCTTTCCTGTTTTGGAGGAGTCCTGCTTTGCAACCACAGTTGGGCCTCGCGGCCTAGCAGGTCTGGAACCTTCTCACCTCAGACTTCGAGTTGCTCAGAAAGGGGTACCCTAAGGACCCTAGGGATGGGAGGGGTAGCTTCAGGGGTCCCATTTGAGAGGACTAGGTAGGGACCATGTGGAGAAGCTCCATGCCATCCATGTAAGGAGATTAAGGGTCCAGGAAGGGACTTCAGGGATCGTGAGCGCAGCCATGTTGAGTTAGAAGCATGTCAGCACAGATCTGGGTATGTGCTGGGACTGGCAAAATGCATCGTCGACCAGAAAATATGTAGTAACCCGCACAACTATTCCTGAGTAGTTTCAGACAAGGTAATCATCCCCATCACGAGGCTACAACAGGAATACCATGGGGGTGTGGAACACGTGAGGGATCCCACTAGAATCCTCCTAAACTGGATGCTTCGGTCTGTTCGCTTTTTGCCTGGGGTGCAGGACGTAAGATTGAAGAAAGAGCGGCATCTTGAAGCAAAAGCAAGCTAAGAACCTCTTGGACGAACCTCAAAAAGTCCAGACTCCCTTGCGCAGCAAACCCTGCTCTTGGCCATAAACATCTCCTACTGTATACATAGCAGTGGCGCACAGCACAAGCAGCCTTATGCCTTATGAGAATGAAGGCAAATCTGGCTGGGTTCGGGGGATGGGTACCGAATCTCTGTAAACCTTACGATAAACCTGTCTTGGCAACCCAAACTCAGGATAGTGCAGTAGTCGCATCACGATGACGGATTCTTTTTTGGGGTGAGCTTCGTATCAACGAAGCCCAAGCAATCCTATGAACCCTGGCTTGAACAGGTAGAAAACCCATCAAACTGAAACATCTGGCAGACCCTCAGAGCCACAGGAACCACACATTTCCACACAGTTCAATAGCATGTTATAATCGATACCAGCTCCTCAATGACCAAAGCAGTTTAGAACGAGAGTTGGGCCCCGTGCAGAAGCACTGAAAATCCACCCTCAACCCTCTACCTTTAGCCAATAGTCAGTAGAATATGCAGCTGAAGCAGGCTTTTGAAACTGGAAATGTGCGAACATGTGCTACCGTGGGGCTGTACGACCCTAAACTCAAGCCCACTATCCATTCATGCCCTGAGATTTCGAGTCGACAATATATTTTGCCCACCTACCATGCGTTCCCAAGCAAGATGTCCAGGCAGGCCACGCTTTTGAAGGATCATCTGCATGGGATGCAGTGTAAAGATTAGGGTTAAAACCTTCAGGTTCAAGGCCAGATGCGCGATCAGTAAAGTAGAGCCTGAATAGTTTGAACTGGTTTTCGGGGTGTGCGTGTTTATATTTACAAATACACATATAGTTTGCTGTAGTTACATAAGGGGTTTAAGGAATATGACACGCCGTGATTGCCAAGAATTATGGGTAATTCGTCAGGTGCTTGCAGGAGTCAAAGTGCCTTGATTTCTTTTGCTTCGTGTGGAACACAAGAAAGCTTTCATGACTGTTCATCAAACTGGCTAGGATGCTTCTCAAAGACAGAATGCGAAATGGTACAATGTTATGGATGTTCGTCTAGCTGCGACTCCTACCAGCAAAGCCCTGCAAATTCATCCTTGATGCCACAGCTCACTCACGTCCACCGTCCTCGATTAAACTTGATTCCTCATAACTACCAGTACCTATCTTACTCCCGCGCCTACTCCTACCAGTCTTATAGAAAAACCGTAACACCTTAAACTCCTAGACCAAAGCCCTAAAACCCTGTACCAAAAGCTTAAAACCCTATACCAAAAGCTTAAAACCCTAAACCCCTATACCAAGAGCCTAAAACATTAAACCCCTCTAATTCCTAAATCCCTGAACCAACCCTTGTCCTGAATTGTGATTGGCCTTGGAGCCAGTTTTGACAACTCGGACCAGATCATAAAGAGGCATTGGTGGTTCCCCAAGCACCTCAGCAGTGCAAACTTGCCGCACAAAGTATCCCCACTGATTACTGGCGGGTGATATGGAGGCCTGCATAATTCTGAATACTATACCAATACTATTTTGAGATCTTGTTGAGGTATACACGTGCAATTTGGGACCATAATGTTGGTCATTATTATTTAGGCCCCCACAGCACAGCAAACCTCGTGCTGGAGGGATCATGTTTAGGATCTTTCCGGTCACGATCACGGTCTAACACCGCCTTCAGGGCCATGCTCAAGCCTTTCTAGTATGCAATGGGCTGAGACCGTGGACTGCACAAACCCCAAACTTCAACACAGGCACAAGTCAGGGGCCGATTTTTTGGGAGGTCTTATGGAAAAAGTAAACTATGCAATATCTGGTCCGTATGTATGGAATCCCCACATGGAGCTTTCCCAACAGGTCGTGCACCTGCCCAACAGTGGAAGCAATGTTTTACCAAGGCAAAAGAATCATAGTCCCCATGTCCTTCGCATAATCTACATAGAACACGACAAAACTCTCACATTTACTGGGTTGCTGTTAAGGAACTTAAATTAAGTTACTATATTGGGGAAACCCTGTTATTTACTATATATACCCATTATGGTAACTTAGTTTAAGCTCCTTAACAGCAACCCAGTCTAAGGGCATCCGTGGAGCTCGCTGAGTGTTATCGATCACCTGCCTGTCAGGGATGGCTACTGAGTCTGCCTTGTGCAATGTTGGGGGGGGGTTCCCAAAATTAGGGTTACATTTCTAATTGGGGATCCCCGTAATCAGGATGATCATATTTTGGGGTCTACATTGGTATCCCCCTGTTTGGGGAAACTACTACATTAGGGGTTATTATGACCGCTGTACAGGGTTATCATAGGGCTAAGGTATGGTTATTGCGTCTATTGTTTACAGTCATCCTTTGCACTTGCAGTTGCGCACCTCAAGCCTAAACCTTACACCCCCAAAAAACTACCTTCAACCCATAAGCCTCATTAACTGGGTTGCTGTTGACGAAATTAAATGAAGCTACTATAATACGGAAACCCTACTATTGACAATATACTCATATCATACTATGCTAAGTTACTTTAATTCCTCAACAGCAACAACCCAGTCAAGCCCCAACCTCATCCTCTTGGCGACTTCAGCCGCCTCAGTGGAGATAAGCTGGATATGGGCGGTTTCAAGACACGATGGAGAAGACATGGAAACTACCATATCAGTTTGGCAAGCGCGTCTCACTGCAGGCACAGCAAGAACCTCAGAGTTCTGGTAGCAGGTTGACAACCCAGCTTCGCTTTTTGTTCCACCTGCGTATGCGACGAGCAATGCAAGATCTGCTTGTGTCTTAGGGCTGTCAAAGGTACAGTGCATGTGCTCATAGAAGTTCACACATGCCTGTTGCACTGAGCAACTGCAGCAGCAGTTTGCCACCGGCCGGACCCTGTACAAACTACAGGAGCCCATAATTTTTGAATTTATGGCGGCAACGCGTGAGTTCACTGTCAAGAGGTTTACTTATACCGCGAGTGAACACTGCGCATGTCCAAAAGCACGTATTAGACACTGCCTCTCTCATGCAGGAAGTAGCAGTGCAAGAAAAAATGTCAAAACTAGTTGCAGACGGTTTCCAGCGCTCATAGGCGTCCAGAAGGCATGCAGCTTAAATGCAGACTACATCATAGTCTACTGGTCTTTCTGTATGGTTCTAGCACAGAAGCTGCCTGCTATACGAATTAGGGTGGTTGGCCTGCTTATATGGCCGGATTTCAGCACCTGCTCAGCCGCGCATATCGCCTTTTGATGTAATTCGGGCATTCCATCTTCTTCCAGGCGAAGTAGTAGTTGTCGTGCTTGCCAGGCGGGCTGGCAAAATCAAAGTGGTGCTTCACACCGAATGTGTTCGTCGAAGGTCCCTGACGGCCAGGGCACCATGCTTCGTTGCCAGCGTATGGGCATGTGTCGGCAACGACGATCTTGATCTCTCTCCGGAAGAGTGAAGACCCCTTCCATGCTCCCAATGGATAGTTGAAGGGATGGTACCAAAGGAATTTGCCCCTTGCACAGGAAAGGCAGCCCATGCCTGTTGGACCTGATGCATCTCGGGTGCAGTAATGGCCATCACCGACGCCCTGAGCCTGCATGACCTCGGCGGATGCCACAGCATAGAAGTCTGTTCCAGCAACGAGTCTGGCAGTGTCGACCGATCCACAAGAGGCGCAGCAAGTGTCTGCGTAGCGGGTGGTCGTTGCCAGGTGATCGTAGCCCAGTCTCCTGGTCACGTCGTGCAACTTTGAGAGGCTTGGGTTGACGTTGAAGCGCAAAGTGGCATTCGACCAGTATTCCTTTCTGCGTGCAGCACCGCCTGGTAGGAGGTCCTCTGGAGATGGCCAGGATGCATTCCTGGGTGGCTCTGGCGTGTCACCAAGTCGCGCTTCCGCACCGGCCAGAAGTACGGCCAGGAGAGTTGTCAGCATCTTGACCATAACGTGCATCGACGCAGGGTGTCAAAGCAAGAGGCGTCTTGAACCACCGGAGCTGCGCCATTTATCAGGGCTCAGGGTTCTGTGCGGCGCAGTAGCATCTAATGAGACTAATGTGTTTACGCAGAAGGGGAGCTGGGCTATGGCGACAAGCTTGCAGGTAATGCAGTCTCTCCGGTACCGGACTGGTACCCTGCTCCCGCAACTCTCAGCTCTGAACCCCTATTCCTACACCCATAGCCCTGCTGGCACAACCCTGAGCCCTAGAACTTGTATGGGCCGGAAAAATCAATGTTACGTTTTCCATGTATTAGAGGGCCCAGGCAGACTACAATCTTCATAGTGGCTTCAACAACGGGGCCCTTGTATTGGAAACCTCCATATGAGCTATAGTCTAAATTCCTAGTATCCCCCTTAATAACCCCCATAGTAGTCCCCCATATAATCCCCTAGATAACCCCTTTTAAGGAGTTTAGACTATAGCTAATATATTTTTTAGGGTTTCCCCTTAATAACCCCCTTTAACCATAATGTCAAGGCCCAGTTGCAGACTTGAGTGATCGCATCGTGTCCTGCCCCGGTCCCCCTGAGGTTGGTTTAGGGGTTCAGGGTTTACCTGGGCGCTGCGGAACCCTTAGTTTTAGTGGTCATACGACAAAAATCAAGGCGGAACCCAGAACCTAAAAAGCTGAGCTGCGTAGGGTGCATGTTGGCTTTCAATCACTTTTTAAAATCCAAATTCAGTCAGGCGCAAGTGCAACTGTTCTAATTGTGGGTATTATGGCATATAGAGGGTAGATGGAGGGTCTAGGAGGTTAGTTCTCAGACTGGATGGGTTGGTCGCAAGCTGAACGGACTCCTCTCGGAAAGCGCAGGTTGGGTTAGAAGTCGCATAAGCCGGGATCCGATGCATGTCCTGTCTATGGGGTCCACTTGTCAATAGGCTCCTCAAGGCTCGTCACAAGCCCTACAACTGCCTCAAGCCCATGCATACCTCAAAGTATGAGGCATTTCTCCAAGTGATGCGGGATTTCTCAGCAATTAGGAATCCATTTTCGATCCTTTCTGCTTTGAGCAGTATGGTATGTCTGTCCTCGCATTGGTGGAAGCCTAGATCTTGACCACAGTTTCTTGCCCCAACGCATGAAATCCAAAGATTAAGTGGCCACCGGCTGCAACAGCTGCCTTCAAGCTACCACAACTCAAAGGCACCACCACTTTCACTCCGTGACTCCGCAAAACTTACCACCTTAAAACATACATTCCCACAACACCAAGTGCCTTTCGAAAGAAATCAGCATACTAACTGTACCAGAAATGTGCAGGGCATGGACAGCGATGGATGGTTAGAGGCATTGCAGCCTGAAGGAAAAGCTAGCACTCAGGCCTGGGTCGCAGATGCATGCAGCCTTACTTCCTCCTGCTCCTCGGTCACTGGCTTCAGTTTTCAAGATTGGCTTGTGGTTAGGATCCCTGATGAGAGAGCGCCGCAACCCTCAACCCTAAATCCCGGCTATGCCATGCTGTCAAAATCAGGCTCCCATGTTGAAACCCCAAGGTGGAGGGCGCCGTGCAAAATATCGTGTCACGTACTTCCCGCAAAGTGGCCAGAGACCTGAGTATTCTACCAGATTGAGAAAGAGCTGGTCTCGTTTTGGCAGTTATGCAAGGGTATCTGGGCAGTTAATATCCAATGTTGAAAGGGTGCCTGCTTAGCGCCAAAACTGCCAGTCAGCAAATACCTACCCCTTTAATGGCTGAGCCTGTAACTCTCAGCCCCAAAGCTTGAGTACAAAGCCCCTGTTCAACTTTACCCGTTTTTGTCCGCATAGCTGTTCGAGCCCCTTCACCTCACAGAGCCATTGTTTTGAGAAGTATGTAGAAAGGCATGGCAAATCAAGAAATCCTACAGGGGGTGGTCCAAGGTGGGTAGATAACCTAGCAATCTCCAGTAAATACTCTCGAATCCTTGCTAGTACCTGTCAAGGTTCCCTAAAGTTCCCCAGGATGCTACCGCCTTGGGCCCAGCCACCTTACGAACATGGTAGCCGAATATGGACAATAATTTCCGAAATCAGACATGCATAGCCATTCTCAACCAGGACCCGGGAGGAATACAAGGGAAGTCAGATCCAGGGCCGCGGCATCAAGACCAAGGCAAGAGCACAATCCATAGTCCCCTAACCTCCTATGCCCTAATCTCAAACTCTACACCCGTCATCTAACTCCGAACCCTGAACCCTAAACCCTAACTGGTAGTTTCCATTTTCGTTTCCATTATCCCAAGATAACCCTAACATGACCCCAATATAACCCTAACATAGCCCCAGTATAACCCTAACATAACCCCAATATGACCCCAATATACATCGAGGCTCGTCGTTGACCTCAGTGGACTGGCAGCTGCCCATTGCCCAAGTGGCGCAAACCAGTACGCGGCGGCTTCTTGCCGCGAACATGCACAAGTCTGAATATAATAGCATCTTATGGTATACTATGGAATATTCTAGTATATTATAGTATAATATGGTATATCATAGTAAATTATTGCTTATTGTGTATACTTTGGTAAAATAGAATGTGTTATGGGATATATTATAATATATATATAACGGTAGCCGGGCGCGGGATTTAAGACGTCAACATATTTATAAAAAAAACAAAAAGAAGGTTTTGGTGGGTTCAGGGCGGTCTTTTTGCGGTTTTGGCGGTTTTCGATGGCTTGTGGAAATTAGAGGGCATGGGAGCCTCCTTCGCAGGGCTGACATGCTCCATCCACCATCTGTGTAATGTCATGGGCAAGCCCAATCAAGCCCACGGGTCAAGATGGTGCTTTGTGGTGGCATAGAGGGGCGTAGTCAGCAGGTCTGAAAGCGGCAAGACAGGAACCAATTTCTGTAACACAGCTTCCCAGCCGTTGACATGGCAAACCGTGCAAGGATGGGTTGACGGCTTAAATTCTCCGGGCCTAAATCTAGTAGCCTTTGTAGGGGAATAATAGCAGAAGAAGGCGACCCCAGACAGGATCTTCCCGAGGTTCCTTAGGCACCCCCGAACGCGTTCCAAAATGTGCAGAAACCCACAAATGCTAGCCTTCTCAAGAAAATGGCTGACGTCTTGAATCCCGCGCCCGCCTAACGGTATACTATATTATAGCATAGCATAGTATGTAGATGGGTAGTTCCCCAAATTAGGGTCCCATTATGTATGGTATCCCTAAATAGTAGGTGCCGTAACATACTTTATAACCAAAAGGGGCCCATAATTTTGAGAAGAACCCATATACTGTTGCTTACTGGCACATCGACATGCACATTGGAACGCTTGTGACAGCTTGTGAGTATAAGTGTAAGTAGTAGTGCTTGTTGCCTTTTCTGCCTTTCTTGCATCTCTCTGAAAATGTGTGCGCGTGGTTCTGCATGCATATACCCTCACCAAGGTGGTTAGCATGATTGCATTCACGGTTGCAATCTTGTGTTCAAAGACAGGAGAAGCGCACGGTATTGGTGTTGGCTAAGGGTTCCTACTCAAAGCTCTGATGAAGTAGCTATGTTTGGTCACCCTCCCCTATTGCATCCCAGGCCCCAAATTCTCAAATAGCACTGGGGCGGGCTCGTAAAGCATGTGGCATTCTGCAAGCATTGGTACTGAAGCCAAATGGCTCAACAACAGCAGTGCCTTGTATCATAGCGAACGAAGGGATGAAATCAAAAAGGAACCTAGGGACTACTGACAGGATCCATTCCTCCATCCCCTAATTACCATCAACCAGTAAGGGGTATTGGACCATGTGCCCTGAACTCTGAAACATGAGTTGTGAACACCGGCCGCCCAGATTAAGCTCAAAGCCCTTGGACGCGGACAGCAACTTCATTTCCGAGTTTCGACATAGATGTTTCCCGACGTGAGGGGCCAAACTATAAACCCCATCATGCTATTCTCTTATTCTTGGGGCTCCAAAAGAAAGGGGCCCTGACTCTTGGAAACCCCCACATGGAGGCACGTTACATTTTACTGATTCCCGAGATGCATCGGGATCACGGGGGCTTGTTCAGAGCTAATAATTGCGAATCAAATGGACAAGAAAACGGAAAATGGAACGGGGACTACCATATAGAGTATAGGATTTAGGGATATCATCCGTCAATTATGAGAGCTTAGGTTTTTGGGGGGATCATCTTTGAAGAGACCCTCAAGCCTCGATCCTCAACCTGCTTTTTGTCCAAGCTCATGCTTGCTGGCTCTCCACCACAATTGGCTATATAGGGGTTATGTTGGGATAATGGAAAATAAAATGGAAACTACAGGGATTATATTTCATAGGGGTTAATATTGAGCTCACACCCCAACTCTAAACGGCGAAGTTGCAGGCTTTTTCCCAGCTTACCCAAGGCTTCACAGAGAGTACTGCTGTTCGCCAACCCTGCACCTCATGTCTTTCCTTCATGAAGCCTGAAGGGAGCGTCCCTTAACAAATCTCGAATGAATCGTCTGGAAGACAATTAGGATGTGCGAGCCCAAAATGAGTATGCGTGTTTAGGGCTTAGTTTAGATTCCAGATTGGACCTCGTAAGCTGTCATTTGCCAAAGCAAATTCATTTAAGACCTATTCAAAGTGCGCAACTAGAGGGTCTCTTAACAACTTTACCACTGCCCCCAAACCCAATTGATGATGACGGGCTGTTTCGGGGCCTCAATGAACAATCAGCGGCAATAGGAATATCAAAAGTAAGAGTTGCAATAGTCAGCCGGGAGCTCCCATCCCAAAAGCCTATACCAGACTTCCCGCATTTCTATGGCTTCTTACCAACATCATAAGTATCGCAAGGGTAAAGCCATACCAGAATTTGGGTTTACATCTTTTTGTATCTCCCAATCCTTGGCCACAAGTCGTGTGCCCTAAGCTTCAATACGCAAAAACACATGGCATAGACTATAGGACGCGTACTTTGAACACAACCCCGAGTCCAAGTTCAAACAAGTGTAGTCAGCTGCAGAAAGCCAAGAGCGAC